TGTTATGACCCCCCCCCCCAAAACTGTGCCTTCTCCAGGCTGAACAAGCCCAGCTTCCTCAGCCTCTCCTCACAGGGCAAGTGCTCTAGCCTCCAACCATCCTGGTGGCCCTTCATTTAACTTACTCCAGTTTGTCAGGTCTTCCTCATACTGGAGGCCCAAAATTGGACACAATATCTAGATGTGGTCTAATATGTAGCAAGTAGAGGGCGACATCACTTCTCACTCCGCTGGCTCTGCTCCTGTGAAGTCTGCCCTGGAGGCTGTCAGCCTTCGCTGCCAGGGCACATTGCTGGCTCATGCGCAGCTTGACGCCTGTCAAGACCCACAAACTCTTTCCAGCACAGTTATTCCCCAGCCAGTCATCCCAGTCTGTGTTGCTGCAAGAGGCTCTTCCTCTGCAGGTGCAGGAATCTGCATTTGTCCTTGTTGAATGTTATAAGGTTCCTGTTGGCCCATTTCTCCAGTCTGTCCAGATCCCTCCGAATGGTAACACTGCCTTCAACCTTATGAACAGCTCCCCCCTCAATTTGGCATCAATTGAAAACTTAGTAACAGTGCACTTCACCTCCCTCTAGGTCATTGGTAAAGATGTTAAACAGGACAGGTCCCAGAACAGACCCCCCCCCCCCAGTACCTCACTTTTAAACTCCAGGTAGAGTATGACCCACTAAGCACTACCCTCTGAGCCCAATCAAGTTTTCACCTAACTAGCTGTCCACTCATTCAGATCACGTCATTCTAACTTTGATACTGTTGGAGAATGTGTGGAAAGCCTTGCTAAAGCCAAGGCAAGTGAAATCTCATTGACAAACCTACTCATCTTACCATAGGCAGCAAAGAGGCTCATTAGGCATGATTTACCCTTGGGTAAATCCATGCTGATTGTTCCCAATCACTTTCTCCTCCTTCACATGTCAGTGCCTTTTCACTCTGTTTTATCACTTCTGAATTTTCTTGTTCCTGCCACTCCACATCCTTTGCTTCCAAATCCTGTCCACTGCTATCTCCTCTGCAATTCCTAGTTTAAAACTCTCCTCACCAGGCTGACCAATGTGTTGGCAAAGATGCTCTTGTCTCCCTTTGTCAGGTGGACCCACTTCTCCCTAGCAGCCCCCTATCCTCCAAGTGAGTTCCATCATTGCAAAAGCCAAATCTGGGTCAACATCGCCAGTTGCACAATCACATATCAATCCACAGGATTTGTCTGCTTTCCCTAAGCCTTTCCTACCAGAATCTAGAACACCACGTGGGCCACTGGGCCCCTGACTCTCATCCCTAGAGCCGTACAGTCACTCTTGATACACTCAGTGGTAAGCATCATGCATACCTCTATATTCTCAACCAGATACAGCACATACTGTCTCCTGTCCATTCAGTGGTTAGGAGATATGGTAAGTGCACAGACGAGCAGTTCCTGTTGTGTGGGGCAAAGCAGGAGATATCAGACAAAGTAGAAATATTGCAGAAGGAAGAAAATATTGTACTGCACGACCACTAACCATATAGGAAGGACCTGAGGTTACTGCAGAAGGAAATGAGGGGTGCAGAGGAAGGGGAGGGGGCACTCAGTAGGTGTAGTAGAGCAATCTGAAGGAAAACAGGCTATGTTAGTCCTCCTGATAAGAGAATAACTTGCATTTCCTTTGTACTCAAATTGTACAGCCTTCACATCCTCAAAAACATCCTTGCTAACTTCACAAACTAAAGTACAAATAAATATTTTAGGTACAGGATTGTTAAGACCATTTATAAACTAGAGAGTGTGCTATCCAGCTGCCATATCACAACTGGAATCTGCAATATCATACCAGTTAAGGTGGGCAAATAATTCTATTCAGTGAATTTTACCATATATGGAATAACTGCATATATTAGCAGAATGCTTAATAACTATTTTGGAAAAGCTTAATTATTGCTCAAAATATATTTGAAGGCTCCAAAGCAAAGGGTGCTAAAGAAGTTTAAAGTGTGTACTTCAGAATTATGCATCTTACCTTTCGGCACTGAATGCAGACTCTGTGTCAATGTATATAACGGCCCCATCCAGTCCTCCCATGCTTATAGGTAGCGTAGCCAGAACACTCATCATAATGCAAAATTGAGTTTTGCCACAACCTGGTGGGCTAGTTATCTAGAAGGAAAAGTTACTAGCTTAAGTTATCACATTCATTTTACCCTTGCAGTCAAATTCATCACTGCTGAAAAATAAATAATTCCTCCTCAGAAGCAGCACTACCCTTGCACTTCATTTTTCTTTCTTCACCATCCTTCTTTCTCCACTTCCTTACATCTCATCTCTGAGGTGCTCTATTCCTCCCCCCCCCACCATTTACAAGATCTTCCCTAGAGCCACACCCAGTCACTTCCATCTCCTTTGTGCTACCCTCGAAACTACAGCAGCACAGGTGATATTCACTTTACATCAATGGCCATTAAAGCTGATATCGCCTTGAAAGCCAAGTCAGAAGCTAATTGGTTCACAGAGCTAAATCACTGATGAGGTATCATTATTGCCTTGGTTACAATCAGGTCCCACTTGGAAATTACAAGAATAATTACTTATATCCTGTGAAGTCTGAATCTGTAACACGAACCACATATACACAGTCAGATTTTATCTGCCCCAGAGACAACATCTTAACACTCCTGTTAAAAAGTAACAGGAGATGCTAAGATACTAGCTTATCATACTTCACGGAAATTATTCTCTATGCAGCATGTGTTTTGTCATTGACATCAACTCCCTATCGCCATATTTCAATGCACACACCATTTAACAAGCAAGGTAAGCATGCCAGTTTTCAGCTTTCACCTGCACTTACTCAAAGCCTCCTGCAGTTAGGGAGCATCCAAATAGAATGCACTTCACTTGCGTGAAATGGTTCCAGTATGATTTTGATCCAAGAGCAAAACCACAATGATCAAAAGAACACGTTGTTTGATGAAATCCCTTGCCTCTGAGTACAAGATCTGCCTACAGCAGTAGGCCATTTTTCATCTATAGCAGACCTTACAGAGACTGTAAATGCTGGACTCTGTTCAGATAACCATATGTCCATTGGGTACTACACTGCTCTTTAAATACAATATCACATTGTCACGGCTTCTGGGAAAGGAGACAAGGACATACTTTTAATACTAAGAGGGCTGAAAAACAGAGTAAATACAAAGCTGAAACGACTTAATGCACTAATAACAGAGAGCTATGGGTCCATTTTGACCCTAGTAGGGAATAAATAATAATGCAAGATAAATGAAACCTTGTCTAGGGAAGTTACACTACAAAATGAAACTACTCCTCAAAATACCATGCACTGCCATAACAGACTTAAATCCAGAGGTAAATTTATTCAAATAATAAAAAAAACTAACAACTGACAGCCAAAAAACACCAAATTGATTTTTGAGCCAGACTGCACGATAGTTTGGTTCTAAGTACAAACATTGCTTCATCTCAAGAAACTACAGTACTAGTATGCTGTCATTTTAAGCAGCAGCATGATTAAATCACAGAAAATTTACAGGGAAACACTGTGGGACAGCATTAGCTACTGCTACACTCTCCCGTTAAAAATCCCTCTTATCACTTTTGCCTTTAAATAAGGCCTGAAAATCAAGTCATATCAGCCAACTCACTTCAAGCTTTGATATAAGGGAAAGATTTGAAGAGTTTTGCTTAGGAGCACATGTTGGATTTAGTGAACTACTGATCAGGAATCAGCCATATTTATGCAAGTAGCAGTACCCCATCCATTGTCTCAAGTTTACAAAATATCACATCAACAACAGCTGCCATATTTTAATGTGAACACAAAGCATACATAAAAATTGCAGAGACTACATATTTTTCAGACTGCGATAGCCAATGAATCTCACCAGCTGTTTCTGCTTAACAAGTTAAACTTGAAATGAATAAGGGGAGGTCATCAATTCAGTTGTTACATTGAAGTGTTTGGACAACTGTGAGGAGACCTCAATAACCTTTGAAGTTCAAGCCCTGCCTGGGAGGTGCATTGAAATCAATATTTATTTCAGTGGTCAATGAGTTAATTCAGGGGTTAACTCAGCAGAGGTGCCATAAACATGTCTGGGGAGATCTGCATGGTATCAGAGAGAAACAGAAAATCTTGCAGTATTAGTTAGAGTACAAGGAAGCAATTCAATGAAGCAAGAGAGAATTTCCATTCCCAAAGACAATAATACTTCATCTTTTAACAGCATTCATTTAATAGACATTAAATTAGCATTTGAAATAATCCAGTGAACAATTTTTAAAATCTATACCATTTTATTATGACTTATTATTCAAAAGTTTTGAACAACACAAACTTAGTTGAAAAAAGGCTGAAGTGCCTCCAATGTAATTTAAACCCCATGCCTGCAAGAAGTTTGCTGAGTTGGTCTTACTCTAAATTTGCTTTTGAAATCAAGAGTTCACCCAGACAGAAATGTCAAGACTACAACAGTTTTTAATTTATCTCTGCCTAATAAAATATACTTTTATTTTTCAATAAGCTATATATTATTTTCCCTGGCACATCTGCAGGGTTTGGATAAAGTCACAAGGAACTAATTCTTCCTCAGCTACCCAAAGGATTAGACTCTTCAGCATCCACAAACTCATTACTCCAGCTTTCGCTCAGAGAAGTTGGCCAAAAGTTCTGACATCTGACCACAAAATTTCAGTTATGATTTAATTTCCAACTTAAACCTTAAAAGTGGTTTGGAAAAAATGGTCTGAGACAGTACAAGGCAAATCAGATCCTGCTGGCACTCAAAAAGCAAGCAGATTTGGCTGTAGAAGATACCATCAGAACTCTTAACCCTGTGGTTCATGTAATCACATTCCAAGTTTCCAGCCACCCTCACTCCTGGGTAAAGTAACAGGAAAGGGATGATTTAGCCACATCAGTCAGGAAGTAAACGCTCCAAACAGTTTTGAAGAGAATGTCTCTCAGGTTTGGAATATCTGCCCAAGAACAAAATTACCAAAGGACAATCTGCTGGTCTACTGTGCTCCAGTGAGTTATAAAGGAGCAATTTAGAATGATTAAGGTCCAGAATCACTTCAATCCAAAAAGAACATGACTTGTGAGTGTTTGCAAGCTACAGTGCAGCATCAAAGCAGCGCAACAGACACTTGATAGCCTTCTACTAAAATTTCATTTAACAATCACACTGAATATTTGCAGTGCTGCCAACCTTTGAGACTACTTCAGATCTCATGATTTTTGCAAAAATGCTCTTAATCACATCACTCCAGAACAAGGCTTTAAACAAGAAAATAATTTTCTGCTTAGTTAATTGTTCTCTGCTCTTATGCTCGCTGAGGAACTCCACATGCATAGCCTAATCTCTTTCCAGATTTAACACCTAAAAGGCAAATAAAAAGTAAAATACCTTTTTTAACCACTGCCTCTAAGTTAGTCTTCTAACTTCTGTAGTCTACCTAGTTATCTTTAAAATATTTCTGATTCACAATAATGATGCATAACGCAATTTAAACTGCTATGTCAGTGCAATGAAAGCCAAACTACTTGTGGAAAGATCTAACACTTGCAATACTAGCCTGATCCACTAGATGTCTCGTACAGACTTCAATATTTCAGTCTCTGAGCATACCAGGCATTTAAGATACCTGTATTAGGCAGGTCTCTGCATTTTTAATCAAAAGAAGTTAAAATAAGAAACTTAACATATACAAGATTTTTCAGAGAAAGATTTTAAGACCAAAGGCTATCCTGACAGAGTGCTTTCCATTTGCAAACAAGTAAAAGTTACCTAACTTCAGATATACTATTTCCCCCAATTACTTTTAAATACATTGACATATATGGACCATGACCATTCTTCAAATAGACTTTAGCAATACTCTTCCACACCTTCTGATATCCAAAAAGACTAATGTTTTAAAGAAATACTAAAAATAAAAAAATTGAAGTATTGCAATAATTAACAAAGTTAAGAAGGATTACAAAATACATAGCCCTGGAAAATTAAGCATTTTCTTTATTGCCCGATAAGCATTATTTTATACCATCTGAGGAAAAAAATGTCATCCATGCTTTGAGATTAACTGTTTGCAGACCCTCCTCTCAGATAAAAAAACAACTTTAAAGTGAATGCTTAGCTGAACTCCAGTAAAACTCACAGCATGCTAGCTATTGTTTTGCCAGATCTCACACTAGAGTAAGGCCATGAGCACGATAATCGGCAAACAAAGTCTGTCCATGTCCCAGAGCCATTCCACCTTGGTATTCAGGAAAGAACATGTCAGGTAGTTTGCACTCATAGCTGAATGATAGCTATCCTTAGGATTCAGTCAAAAGACAAACATTCATGACAACATCATTGTCAGTAGCCTTGTACATTAACTGTATGGTGGTTCCTACCCAACAGCACCACATCCACTTGTTTTTGTTCATTAGAAAAAATTATTTCAGGATCCTTGAATGTAAACTTTTACACTGGTCATCTTTTACTCAAAAATGCCAAGCTGCAGGAAGGGGTCCAGAAACAGAATGAGTTATCAGGGTTGACCAATAATCCCACAACATATAGAGATGACATTCTCATTTTGGGCACCACCTATGAGCCAGTGACAGAGGCTCAAGGACATGCCTGCATAGGCACATCACAGGAAAAAGCACATCCCTTTCTCTTTCTCCTATATGTGCAGCAGTGCTTTTAAACACCAGCTAAAGAAGCTTAATTCAGTACTTTTAGGCAGAACAAGCATGTGAACAGCCATTTCCCGTTGAGGAAAAGTCAAAGGATCAGATGGAAACACCCTGAAGGCCCTATCCAAGTCACAAATGAGCATCATTTCTTTTCATCTAATCACAAAACAGTTGAGGTCGGAAGGGACTTCTGAAGATCATCTAGTCCAACCCCCCCTCCTCAAGCAGGGTCACATTGAGCTGGTCACCCAAGACCATGTCAGAGAGCTTTTCAGTATGGAGGATGGAGACTCCACAACCTCTTTGGGCAACCTGTTCCAGTGCTCAGTCACCTTCACAGTAAAATATTTTTTCTTATGTTCAGACAGAACTTCCTTCCTGTGTTTCAGTTTGTGCCCACTGCCTCTTGTCCTGTCAGTGGGCACCACTGAAGAGTCTTGCTCTGTCTTCTTTACACCTTCCTATCAGATATTTACGTACATTGACAAGACCCCCCTGAGCTTTCTCTTCTCCAGGCCAAACAGTCCAAAATCTCTCAGTCTTTCTTCATATGACAAATGCTCTTGTCCCTTAATCACCTTAGCAGCCATTCACTGGACTCGCTCCAGTAACTCCATTATCTCATTCCTGCAGAGCCCAAAACTGGATACAGCACTTTTCAAACATGAGCAGTGCTATTTTGTCAGCTGCCTGCATGAATCACAGAATCACAGTACGGTTGAGGTTGGAAGGGATCTTTAGAGATCACCTAATCCAACTCTCCCCGTCAAGCAGGATCACCTAGATCATGTTGCCCAACACCATATCCAGATAACTTCTGAAGCGCTCCAAGGACGGAGACTCCAAAATCTCTCTGGACAACCTGCTCCAGTGCTCCATCACCCTCACAGTAAGAAGTTTTTCGTTAGATCAAGAAGGAACTTCCTGCGTTTCAGTTTGCGCCCGTTGCCTCTTATCCTATCACTAGGCACCATTAAGAGGCTGGCCCAGTCCTCTACACTCCCCCTTCATGTATTATACTCATGGATAAGATCTCCCCTCAGTCTTCTCTTCTCCAGGCTAAAGGCTATCATAAACAATGATACAAACGAAAAGGAGTCAAAACTACACCTAGCTTGGTCACTGTTGTGCTGAGAAAAATATTTTTAGGAACCAAGAACTCATCTCATGCTGAAGGCACTATCCTTCAACAGCAGAAGGATTACAATCTCAAGGACCCTACATATCCCACTGCTATTTATAGGTAACTAAAGAACAGCTCTTTGTTCTTCAACTGAAGAAAATTTAGCAAGTCCTCCCCGCAAAACTCAACCTCAGGCAGAGTACAAGTCATCTTAAAGTTATTCCAATTTGATTTCTTTATAGTAAATTAGGAACAAAGTTAGGCCTAAATTTGAAGACAATGTGAATTCTGACAGAACAATGTAAATTCAGACACATTCTTAATCATTTTTACAAAGACCTGAATGTTGTAGATTCCTGTACAGCATACACAAAAATAAATATTCATAATCTTTAAAAAGTAATATGCCCTCATTACATAAGAGTTTAGCATCACAGGAACTATTATAGTTTAAACTCAGTGTCATTTAATTCTAATCTGTTTTCAGTCACTATCAGATTTCATAGATGATTTCTTTGAGATAAAAACCAACATGTTTTGACCACAGGGAGGGGGAAGATGTATTTTCCTCACAGTAAGGCTTTTGTAACATCTCACTTGTTCTCCTCTACTGTGGAAAGTTGACAGAAAAACACTTGGTGAGGGCTGTTAGAGTGTTCAAGGTAAGTGGTTTCAATTTGTCTAAATTCAGAACATATGAGACATAATACATATTCCTGCACTCATTTCAAGTGCATAGCTCAGTTCAGAATAACTTTACTATAAAAACGTAGATATGGCTACATTGCATAACACCAGTGCCCGTCTAGCTCACGATTCCGTCTCTAATGTGGGCTTAGAACACCTGGCTAGGGAATAAAATAAGAAAAGGGCACACATGTATTGATGCTCTCCCCAATATATGCTTCTTCACCTCCAATAGTTAGTGGCTCAGCAACTTCCTGAGCCAGAAGTTGCATCTTTGTTGTTTTTGTAATACTCAATTACTTCTCTGAACATTTAGCTAAATCTCGTCTTTCCAAACTTTAGAAACTGCGCAAGTTACTATTAATTTCTGCAAGGTCATAAAGATGTCAAGTACTAAAAGATAAAACTGCTCCCTTGTTTTTAAAGGAAAATTCCAGGCAAAAAACTAGCATTGCATCCAAAAGCCAGAGAGTGACAGACTTGGTTCTATTTGCAATTTGTAGTGTTGTAATATATGTGCATATAAATTATAACATAAGCCTTAATTACCATTTTTTAAAAGAATATCTTACAGAATTATTGTATAAACTAGTTATTCATATATAAAAACTGAACACTGTACAATCACTTTCGTGCCTATATGCTTCATGCTTTCGTCCTGATTGCCCATTGTACCTGTATGAAAACTAACAACTTGAGTCAGAGTGACTCAGTGTCAGAACAAGGATAGACTTGGGGACTTGGCACCTTCTGCTCTGACCACTAAACCACACTGCAGATCTCATTTTACACTTCCACCTTTCTCATTGTAAAATTCAGGTAAGAGCATGTTCTTGAGTGAAACAAGAATGTGGCATTTACTATTTCAGTTTCTGGGAGAATTTTCATTTTTCTGAAGGAATATGCAGTCACCAAATTTCTTAATTCCTTAATTTTCTCACTTACACAACACACTGCAGAAACACGCAAAAATACAGCTTACACTAATTTAAAACAAAAAACATTTCTCATCCAACACTGTTGTCTGTTTTTAAAAAAATGGGCACAACAGAGTCCAAACTGGCTGCGACTTGAGAGTTCTAGGTATGATGTGTGACTACCATAAACCACACTGAACAAGTTACCTCTGTGAGGGATCCACAGGGCACTCCACCGTGCAAGACTTCATCCAAACTGTGCAAGCTGGTGGACAAGAAGGCTGATGAGGGGTTGACAGCCCTCCTCACTGTCATTTCATAGGCCTGCAACAGGTGGGGGAAAAAATCAAGTCAAAAAAAGCTTCTATTTATTTTTAAACACCTTGAAATAGTAAGCTTCTCACATTTACTTTCATCAACCTAGAATGACTTAACACTTGCCAATAAGCATACAGTTGCAATCTTCAGTTATATTCCCCTCTTTCCCCACCACTCTTCCTCACATTTATATCCCATTTACAACATACAGAGAAAATTTAAGTTTGTTGTATCCATATCAAGCTTTTATACTATCTTTGAAATTCCACACTACAAAATATTGTAAATGATAACAAGCACTTTACAAAGATGTTTCAAAGGTTTTTTCTGTTCCCACTCAACAAGGCTTGCTTTTAATCCACAGAACTACAAATCTTAAATAAGGAAACACTATATATTTAGTTAGCATGCAGAACATTCACAGTGAAACCTAAAACCAAGAAGTACTTTTTTTGATGAAGTTTATCAGAAAAACTTCCAGTCAGTTTTACCAGTAGACTAACATAGCTCGCAAAACTATCATGAAAAAAGTATATTCCTTTTTAATGCCACAGTTTTCCCCTATGTTATGAGAGCCACTTTGTTAGAATACTATTCAAAAGTCATTCAGATCTTCTCTGTTCTTCAGTTCTATTGAGGAGAAATATACAAAAAAAGCTTTCAGCACACAAAACAGGCCAAAACAAAACGATTTGCTCACAGGTTATCTGAGTTTAGGCTCAGGTTCACCTGAAGAATGAATTTACATAATGATGATGACAGATTTGCAACATATTTTTCAATTTAACAAATTCTGTTTAACAAAACTTTTGTTTAACAGGACTTAATCCCTGTAGACTGTACCATGGGAAAAAAAAATCATCTAATCCAGCTTTCCTGCATAACACATAGTCTGAAATTTTATCCTGCTTTCAGTACTTAATCCAAAAAATTATGGTTGAACCAGAGGATCTTTTTGGGGGGGGGGGAATCAATCCACCCATCTTTAAATCAGGAATCCAGGCAATCTTTTCCCATGGTAAATCATACTAGTTGCTAAAGACCTTCTTATAATTTCCCATTTCAAGGTTTTTTTTTTTTAATTCAAGTTCCAGCTTTTGGATCTCATTAGCTATTTGTTCAGCTAGACTCCAGAGAGCTCTAATACCAAATTTCTTTTTCTACTCAGTGTATTGATACAGGTCAAAGCTTTCCATCGCCTCTGTTTTAATAAGATATCATTTCTGACACTTGAATTCAAAAAAGAAAACAAAATCCAGCCATCTGCATTGCAGCTAACACCTGTTTCCTCCTTGCACCCTCTCCCCAATTAGCCACATGCTCATTTACATGGATGGAAACATTTCTCCAAACAAAATACAGTATTTTCAGGATCACTTCACTTCTTGTCACCAACTCTGCCTAAAAAGCCAATTTGTATTGAAATTCTAATTCTTTGCTTGCAGTAATCAATGTTTCTCTTAGTTGCAGGGTTCAGCGTAGAACCAATTCTTATACACGCTGAAACGCAAGACAGAATGCCATACCTCCCTATAGCGCTCCAAACCAATTCTGCGAGCCTGAACAATCTAGGCTTTTTTATGAGGCTATAATGCCTCATAGGAGTCACTGCATCAGAATACTGTGCAATCCAACTGAGACAGAACAATCATATCATTCCCTCCCAGGTAAAAATAAAAGTGATATTATTTAGCTTTCTCTCAGACTCGTAATTAAAAACAATCAACTCAAGGTTACTTACTGTCTGCATTTTGGGAGCACAAGCTAGGCTGACTTTACAAAGAAGCTTCTGCACATTACAGTAGCTCTGCCCTGTCACTTTCATTAGGTCCAAGAGCGAAAGACATAAAAAGTCCTGAAAGATAATAAAACAATTCAGAGAGCTCAACCCAAAGATCAAAGCGGGGGACTAACATGATGCAATTTCCACACAATTAGCATATATTCCAAATGCCAGATTTACAGCTGTGCTATGCTATTCAATGCTATGCTATGCCTCCCCTACCTTTCTCTGATACCAGTAAGGTTGTATTAAAGGAAGTCTTACTCATATGTTAAAAGACATGCAGTCAAGGGATCAAACATTTAAGAACTGCCAGATATAACTGCAATAAGATAACACCTCTTTGCCTCCAAAAGTTTCTACATACCTGAAAAACATTCAGACTACATTGTGTCTTCTAGACAGCAATCTCAGGGCTAGATCTCGTATTTAGCACGCATACAACTGAACTACATAGGGCCTCTTGGCTCTCTTTAGGCAAGTGTTCATGAGAAAGACTCAGGATTTATTCCTGAATCAACCCACAACAGATAGAATAACAATACCCTACATTCAGAACTCTGATCTGAGCACAGAAAATAAGAAAGCACCAATGCCACTTCTGTTGACCATGCTCTTCATACACTAAATTATGTAATACAAATATGTTTTTGTGGAATGCTTATAAATGGATTTCTTACTCCATAAAGGTAGTAGACTGCAGGCCTCTGCTAAAATAAGGCATTTTAAGGGTCCGTAGAAGGAAAGGTAGCACACGCGTTTAAATGTTTTAGGCATCTATTGCTTTAAAACTCTATTTTTAGAAGGCAGCAGGCCAGACAGTCTGAATCGTCCCCCACTTTATAGAAAGCAAAGCTTCATACACATTATATTCAAAAACAAAGTAAACAGTATATGAAACAAAATCCTAAAAATTCAAAACAAAACAATCCTTTCACCTGACAGGTAGTGATTTGATGGCGACTCAGCCTTTCACACAGTTCCTGAGACAACCTTGCTCTTCTCAGTTTCTTAGCAGCCATACTGCACTATCTATGAGGCAAACAAAAAAAGTGTGAAAGCAGCTTGAAATACTACTGTACAATTACACCCACTCCTTGATAAAGGACAGGAAAGAAGGTACATATAGAAAGTCTGTCATATTAAACTGTATTACAGCTCAGAAAGCAGTTATGTTAAATTAATCTCATACATGGTCAAGTATGAGGAGATATATGTCAGTAAGAACAGAATTCAGCAATGTTTATAGGATGGAGGTTCCTACCCTGGGAAACAAGGAAGGGGGAAATTACTTAGTGATGAGGTGAATAGGAACTCCTCATACTATATGGCACTAGAAAGAAAGCAAGTTATCTTTGAATGCCTAAATAAGGACAGCAGAGTATTCATAGTAAGCATTTAGCCCTAGAACATCTATTGCTAAAACACAATGCTCAGTTCTAGTGGCCAGCTGTTCAGGACGGATGTTAAAGGAACTGGAAGGACCCAAAGGAGGCATGAGAAAGACTGAGGAACTGGAAACACATTTCAGCCTGCAAGACTCAAGATGGTCTAACTAGTCAACCTCACTTAATAATCTTCTAAATAACTATTTATAAGTATTTACATGTAAATTTTTAAAAAGCACAGTAAAATCATTTAAAAAATGCTCTTAATATAGAGCTCTTTAATTCAGCCAATAGCGCAAAAGACTCTAGAGCCCAAAGCTAAGCACATGAGGACCAGAACTATGGTATAACGAGAACTATGGTGTAAATATTATTTTATTCTAAAAATGTACAAAATAAAAAACACTGGAACAAGTTAGCAAGTGCTGTGGTAAATTCAGAGTCATTGAACTCTATTTTATTTGTTGTTCTGAGATTTCTGCTTAAAGAATGTCCAATTAATTCAGAGAAGCTCTAAAACTATTTTACATAGAAGATAATTATCTGATATATTCTCAAAGTGATCCTTCTCTCCTTAAAACTAAGGCAAACCCCAGCTATTTGTATTTGTCCAGTTTTTCCTGTCCTTCCATTCCAGAAACCAAAACCACAGCAGATATAGTCAATTCTGTATGTGGTTGCTGAAAAGTAAACAGAACAGAACAACCTGAAGTATGCATATTTTCCTTAAACTATACATATGTTAAAACATATATGTATAGTTTCACACATACAATTAGGGATTATTCCTAGTATTTATTTAGCCAGAACTTTAGGTCAAATAAAAAAGGAGAAATTTAAAGAGCATGGAATCAATAAAACTTTTGGAGATACACAGCTGTCCAGATTTTTCAAAAGATACAGGCCTTACTGCCCCCTCTACAATACTCTCATCAGACAAGAGGAAAGCTAAGTTCTTGAAGAGCTTAGTGTCCTTCAAAACATCAGCTATATTAATAAGCATTTACCATATGATAACCATTAGTGGTAACTGCCTTTGCACAGAACTCATGTATTACTCCAGCAGAACAAAAGGTTCTTGAAATTGATTTTGTCACTGGAGGGATTCAAACGGATGTCCACAGAGCATTCCTGGTGCTCCGTCTCTTTCGAAAGCATCCGAACATCCCAGGAGACACAGATGAATAAGGAGATACGTGAGAGAAAAAAATAAACTATCAGTATGGACTTACACAAACCAACACTGGTACTGCACGATGGCTTCACATTATCACTTTATCTGGACTGGGAAAGTTCGTTTACTGCCTCCAACAAACACTCGAACACTAACGGAAACTGCAGAGCAGACGGGACAGAGGTGTTTCTCCCACAGCACACTCTTAATTTACTCAAATGCCAGCCGGGTTCACCCGCTCCCATCACCGCTACCAGCAGGGCTGCAGCACAGCTGCGCAGCACCCGCCGGCCT